TGTAGGTTTAATTTTGAATCCTGTGAGCATGCTTATACATAGCATACAAAACACCTTCACTTTATTACAGTTTTAAATCTTTCTTCGAGGTCTGGCCTTGAAACCACTTGTCTTGATAAAATAGGTCACTTGAAAAAGGAAGGCTCAATAAAATGAATTACAAAACCAACAAGATTAAACTGATTGTGCTGTTTTTGTACAGTGCAGCTGAATTCTCCAAATATGCTGCTGGCTGTGGTTTGGCATTTAACAGCATGCGATCAGTGAGAAGGAGGAAATTTTATTCTCATTAACTGTTGCAGATTTACTGCAGTGAAAAAGGGCTATGTAACCTGAGAAGTGACAGAATGGAAAGATCAAAGCAGCAGTCTGGAAACTAAATAAACCTTCTGGCTACTTCCTGCAAGGAAAATTCACTCTGGCAATGTAAAACAGAGTCCAGTTAAAAACTACTCTCAGTTTTATGAGCTGTCACAGCAGCTTGAGTGGTTTGGACCAGTCAAGTTTAGAACATTATATTTCCTTGTTTTTGTCTCAGATACTTCTGTAAGCAGTTTTATAGTTTTTCTTTTTTGTTTTTCTTTTTTTTTTTTTAAGAGAAAAATAAAATTCTTTTCTTTTGGTTGAAATCGAGAAGGTCACAGCTAAACTCATTAAAAACAAGCAGGTCTTCATTTGCACATTCCATTCCCGTTTACTACATTTTAATATTTTACTTTGAGATTTATAAGCAATGTACATTTGCTTTAATAACTCTTCCGCATTCTGTTCACTTATTGTTTAATATAAGTGCAAATCAGTTTACAGAGCCCAGATGGCTTGTAACCAGGGAGCCAGTCTATTCCTAGTAGCACATCTGGAGGGACTAAGAGCAACAGACAGAATGTGGGAATTAATTAATGTTACATTTCATAAGAGACAGACCCAGGTTTGGGGGATTTTTTGGTAAGACATTCCAATGGACTTGAACAAACTGTTACAGCATTTTGGTATTCTTTTAAAATTCTTAATAGCCACCTCAACCATGGCGGTTAAGTGAGGCCAACTGCAGGTGGAATACAGTAAAATAAAAAGCACCTAAAAAAAAAAAGTGACTGCAAGTGAAAGAGGCCCAAGCATCCTATATTCCAAAAGAGTTGAAGTGCATTAAAACCTCAGTGCTCTCCTCCCAAACAGCATCTGCGACTTGCTGAAAAAAACTGCACCTTTAAAATATTCCCAAGCAAGCTATTTAATCTCTTAGAATACTAGTGTAATTGTTCAGAGCAATTAAACAGCTCTTACAGTAAATGAAACAAGTGTAACATGAACCGTCATGATTACGGACCACACACCTTGGAGAGGTGGTGTGGTCCGGTCACTGGGGCACTATGCAAGCAGCCAGGAGAGCAATGCTCTACTCCAGGCTCTGGCACCTGACTTTGGACAAGTACCTTCTCTTCTTGCTTTCAGTTCCCTGCCCATCTTGACTATTGCCTCTTTGGGGCAAGGACTGTGTGTTGCATCGTCTGCGTGTTGGGGGATACAAGAGCAGCTGCTTGGAAGCTTGTCCCAATACAGTCTAAAATCAGAAGAAGAATAATAAATAAGCATCCGAGAACATTAAAAAAAAGTTGCTGTATGTAGAATACTGGATATGAAGAGGATATGAAGAACATTGTCCTCATCTGGATATTCCCAAATTACAGGCAGTGTTGTGCCCTAATTCTTTAGTGGTGCAGTATGCACAGATCTCTAAACCCTGGTAAAATCTCATTCATAAATACGGGTCAGAGAAAAATCATCTTCTCCTTGAATACTCAGATTCCTGGTCTTTAAAAATGCTCTATAACTGTCCACATCATAACAGCATAATTTGGTAAAATACATATTAGTGACACCTAAACTGGATTATAATATGATCAAGTTGCAGTATTTAATTTCTATAAACATGACTTGAAGACAGTAAGAAAAAAACTAAGGAAGTGACAGCTAGCAGGAAATATGACTACTGCCTAAAAAAACAGGGAAAAGAAAGAGATAACTCTAGTTTTGTACTGGTGCAGAAACAAATTATTATAAGCTACACACAAAAACAATTCAGGCTCGCATTCAAAAGCTCTTAGCAATGAAGCACTCACACTCTGGAAGTGCCACTCCCACCTTTAAGTACTGAAGAAAAACAACTATACAGTGAATTTTGATTAGGCCATGAACCAGGATCTGAAGAAATCAAGTCAAGTCTTTCAATAAACTTGTCCCAGACAATAATCAAAACCCTCCAAAATGCTCCTGCTTCCTTATTACTATCTTTTAAATACAAGATCTTAATTCTAAGCTTAGGTACCACCTGAATTGGCACTGACGAAAAAAAAGGAGTTTATCTGACTGTTTCACAGACAGTAAATGTATTGTCCAAATGAGAAGTGCACTTTATCTCTGGTACATTCAGCCATATCAGAAATTTAGTAAAGTCCTCCCGACCACATTCAGTTTAACTTCTTTAAAACTAAACATGTCGGCAGTTAGGACAACACAATATGATAAAAGATATGACTCCACTACCACTAAGTATTTTTTTGGGATTAAAAAAAAAATCCACCAAAAAATCTCCTTGTCTCCAGAAACTTCATTGGTTCTGGACTTCTCTTCAAGGCTTTTTCAAATTTGTTTCAGTGGGATTTACAATTTGCTAATACTGATGTGTGATAAACTAATAAAACCTGCCTACAAGGTTATAGGCCCAATTTACTAATAAAACCTAATTCAACTCTCTTGGGAAATGCAAATTAAATAGTGTCCAAATGGTAGAAGCTGAATACAACTCTGCTGGACATACTGCAAAGGCAAAAAAGGGTTGGTTTTGTTTTTAAAATAAAGTTTAAGTATGGAAAAGAAAGTAATGCGTAGAACTATCACTATGGTAAAATATTTGAAAGTAGAATCATGTTGTAATAATAATTTACCTTATTAGCTTTTCTTTCCATTAATTAAAAGATTTTGTACTCACTGTCTGTCCACCTCCAAGACAGGAAAACATTACTGCCTCTATTCAAATGATGAGGAAAGAGATGTGGATACTTCCCGTTCTACTGTGGCACAGACCCCACATAAGAACATGTTTTCTATCTAAGCTATTCTTTCCAAGAACAAAGTTTCTTCTGCCACTGATGGCTCTAAAGCCTTGCCTGAGGCACATCACTTTTACTGTGCACTAAGGTATTAGCTTTTCACCACTAGAGATAGCCTGCAGGATGGCACTTAGCTGCTGAAAGGCTGGGACGGGAATATTGGAACTTCTAAATAAACTATGCACATTACTGAAAATACAACATGGATGAGAAATACTCCATAGTAGGGTGACCAACTCTTTCAGTCCTTTCCTTAGGAAGAAGATTCTTATATAAGCAATGTATACTGTAGGGTTTAGAGACTAAACCAGGGAAGAGATGAAATCCTAACCTCAATGATAGAGAAGTACAACATGTGACTGTTTTTAGCTAATCTAATTGAAGATGAGGATCTATTAGAAGATTGATATAAATATCAATGGAGGATATGAGTTCCAGGTACAACCATTTAAAAACATTTTGATAAATGTTCACAAAGTACACATTTGCCAGCACCTGATGCAGTTCCTGTACCTGATGGGCACAGGAGCTATTCAGCTGTGACTCACGACTGGGAGTTCCCACCACATTGCAGGAGCCAACAGGAATGGAAGGCTACAGACCAAAGTCTCTCCCCCATGAACATTCATGTCTGATTTTCTTCAGGGTACGCAAACAAAAAAAGCCTGTGGATACAACTATTCTCGCCATTCAATGCGGAAGCAGATACTACATGCGGGCAGCTTAGCTAGAGACTAAGTCACAGTAACAGTCCTCCCTGTGCTCCCACCAGGACCTAGAGCCATGTATTCAGTTACTGAAGCCCAGATCACTGCAGTTTCTGTCAACTCAAGCCACAACAGCTTGCTTATGCATGCCTATACTTGCCAACAACAGACACAGCTTAACTGAAGTCAATGCAGAGCAGCCTGCATGGTCCTGGCTCCATATACTTAGCTCACAAAATATCACAATGATCTGCCATGGCAAAAAAGAAATGCAGCTACAGTTTTAGGCTGTAAATCCAGACAAGAGGAAAAGATCTTCCATCAAGGACAGACAGTCACCCCATAAAACTGGTTTTGTTTGACATGCCAAACCTCAGTGCTTCCTGGGAAGAGGCTTCAGGCAGATCTCTGTTGAGAGAAGATATGAGTGCACACACAGAAATGCCTTGTCTTAGTGAAAACGAAGACTGTGCAATGGCAGCTCTGCTACATTTTATTTACAAGGTTAAAGGATGCTGTACTGGAGAAAACTTCCTCAGGAAGAAAAAGAAGTTTTGGCTAGCTCCAGCATTCTAAGAAATCTTTCTAAAGCTACAGACAGAGAGGATTTGGGAACTCTGATGAAGATATTAACAAAAATAGGCTTTTGCACTTAAAAGTTTGTACCATTATCTAGTTATAGCTGGGAAAGGTAAAAAAGTGCTTTCTTCCCCAAAGGGTAAGGAAAACACTGTGGACATTTCTATTATAACATATGCAGCCATCACTATTATGTTTGTGTCTTAAGAAAGTAATTAGTCTCTTGAAGGTGATTAAAATTTGATAAATGACCACAGATTCTTGAAGATGTCTTTCAGCTGGTCTTTATCCCTTGCAGCTCAGACACTAAGCTGTCATCACATCTGCCAAAAGGTGAGGGATTTTTTTTTTTTGTTTGCTACAATCATAAAACTTTCACTCTATATTAAGAGATATCAGAACCATGAACCTTGAATACAGATTTTAATAACAGATGAAAATTTTAAATCTATGCCTAATGTCCATCTGCTTCTGAAAGAGTAAGATGATTCAAAGCTGGTAATCTAATCACAAATGTCTTTTCCTAGCCAATGAAAAAAACCTGGATACAAGCTGTCAAAACAACCTCCTCAGCCATGTATTTTCTGCTGAATGGAAAACATACCTTACGATCTGTTTGCATTCTGCTCCAAACCTTTGAGGAAAACAAGAGACACTGTTTATATATTTTATCACCACTTCTGTGTACATCATATTCTGAAATAATTCTACTTATAGACATCATACACAATAGTACAACTCCACTAAGAATATAGTTCAGAAATAAGAGCTGTAAACTAAAGCTGCAAAACACACAAGCTAGATAACCAGAAACAAAACATTTCTATTTCTAACAATGCCTTGGGTCCCCTAAAGTGAGGGTGGAAGCATTAGAAAAATGGCAACTTTCCAGATCTTCATTTATGTGCTGCTACTTCTTTATGCTGACAAGTACCAGAAGCAACAATTATACCTGTTTGCTTCAGGATATGTCCAGAATAGCAAGCATGCAAGCAAATCTACAAACTGAATTTAGGACTAGATACTTTTACAATTCCCTTCAAAGTCGTTCTGCACTTCATGATGCAGGAATTGATCATGCAAGGCAGCATTCTCAACTCTGGACAGTAGTCAGTACTCCAGGTTTCAAAGGAAAGCCCAAGAAACCCCGTAAAGGGAAGGCAACATCTTTGAAAAATGCAGCCCCTAAGATACTCCACCTAATTCACCAGATCTATACATGTTCTTACTGCTAATACTATTACTTCATGTTTCCCTCTTAAAAAATTATGGGGGAAAAAGCCCCCTATGTGCTAACCCAGTGAGTGCAGATGCCTATAAATACCTTAACTTTTAAAACTTCTGTTTCACTCTTGACTTCAAAAAAGGACTTCCCTGCCCACCTAAGACTGAGCAGCAGGTCTATGTATGTAGGTCCACTGTCTCCTGGGACAGGGACTCCACAGGAGAAGGCTGCGATATCCCTGATGGGTTACAGAGAAGCCAACCACTTCATTGATTGCACATCTGGATACAGCTGCTGCTCAAATTCCCATGAATTTTCCTGAAAATAACATGGTGGAACAGTAATGGCAGAGGCTGCCCTTGGACCTCTGCTAGAACTAGCATCCTACTAGAGAAGAAACACATGGTTTTCGCTATCTGCTCAATACAGTGTAACTGGTGTAACAATCTGATATATGGCAACTGGTGTGGGCTGAGCTCCTTTGCACAGGCATTATTAAATATGGCTTACACAGAAAATCTTCAAGGCAACTTGAGTTTGGTTGTGGTCCTTGAAAATCTCTTCTCATAGACCCATTTCTGTGGCTCCAAAAAACGTGATCAGAACACACTTAAGGCCCAGTAATGCACTGGGGACCAACACTGGTTCAACACTAGCTCAGCTCCTCAATGATGTGCAGGCACTAAAAAAGTTAGTATTTCTGTCTGACTTGTTAGGCTCTCCTGGAGGCAAGGAAAAGTCCTGATTCAGTCTGAGCACAATGCAAGGATAGGAACTAACCTCAGAAATTAAAGAGGCAACATTTCCTCAGGCTTCCTCATAGGAAAGCAGAAAGGAGAAGAAAGGATTAGACTGTTCAAAGTTGAGTAGCAAGAAGTCAGCTCATGGTTGTCACCTACCTCAAATTTCACAGGGTGGTCTTAAATGATGGAAAGACTCCCTCAGAACTCACCCCATTGCTTAGCAAACAACTGTTTCTGTTACAGAATTAGAAAGCCTTATATAAAAGGCTGAGACCAGAAGACACAGGCACAACAAGTAGAAAAGTATAACAAATGAGAAGAGCCAAAATATGTATCTACTCTTTATTAGGCCATCCCTCTTTCAACTCACAAAAAATGTTACTATTAACTGACTTGCTAGTTGTCTATGCAAATCATATCTCAGCTTTCTTCAAAAAAGTTTCTGAAAACATATTCCAATATTAATAATAAAAAAATGAACCATTTTTATAACAAAAATCTTGATTTATTAAAAGCTGGAACTGGTTAAAAATAAATCCTTGACATAAGGTTCTTGTTAGCTTTCAACTGTAAGCATAAAAATACCCTAGAATTATGTTTTGGTATGGTTGAAATGTACACTATAACACATAAAAAGAGCCTTGACTTGCTGCTATTATTTTTAATTAGGCTCTCTAGCACGTATGGTTTTACCTTCCAACACCAATTCAAATTTGGGAAAAGGGAGGGTCTGACTCTCCAACTCATGGGACTGGCAATTCCATGGCTCATGCCTTGGAGCACTAATGCATTTTACATTAGCTCTAAGCATCAGGAAATCCTGGCTTCTGGTGCCAAGAAGTTCAAAACGGTAATGACACACATCTGAAAACTAGGATTCGCCGTTCGACTGCCAGTATCTATTCTATCAAACAATTCAGTCTTGCTCTGTTACAAATAGCATAGAACATTTGCAGCAGTCCACACTGTTTCCAATTAAACTGTGTGTCTGACTGCAGATAAATCCATAGAGCAATCATATTGAAAAAAGTCTTCCTAGAATACAGAATTCTAATGAGAAATTTACAGATGCCATCATCAATAGCATTTACCAAGTTTGTCATTAGCCAAACTGCAGTTTTTCTGTTTTCTTTCTTGAGGTGAGTCTCTAAAATGCGAAGACATTACAAGAAAATTCTACAAATACTTAATTTAACTAGGTATACACCACATGTATTTTGCTACTCACTTTAGTTGGAATACAATCAGATTAAAAAGCAGGTTACTAATGTAGCTCCCTAGTAAGGGATTGAAATTTGAGGTTGAGTGATCTACTTTAACTTTTACCCAAGAACACTCAAATTGGCTTTTTTTCCCCAGCTGAAAGTTTTCTGTTAAAACAATAGCACTTTAACTGGGCCTATATTTAAGTTTTCTGGAAACAAAGGAGTCTGCAAAGCTTCACCCTATACACCTTTCCCCCCACCTCCAGGGGGGTCATGAAGACTGTTGGCACCACATACCCATACAGTGTTCTGGTTAATACAGAAATCTGTCATCTCCCGAGTCGTGTCTCTATTTTAGAGTTAAAATGGTAAGTCGCATAGTAAGACCCCAGGAGTAGCACATAGAGAAACTGAGGGAACTGAGCTATCACCTGCATGCTCTGAAACAAAGGGCTACATGCTAGTCTGAACTTGACCCTCACTGAGTATAAACACTTCCTTTTTTCAAGAGGATCCATCTCTTAAGTCCTACTTTTTTTTCCTGATTTGACCATTTTAGTTATTTTAATTTGTTCTTAAAAATGTTACTACCATCCCACCTTTGCTGAATGTTCAGCTTTCTGGTGCATCACAGGTAGAAGAAACAAACAAGTGTAACCATCCACTACCCTTTAGCAATTACAAGAAGCCAAAGTAAGGGACAAAAACAAAAAATTTTTTTCCTTCAACTGTATATACTGTGAATTACTCATATTTTCCAAGTGATGACTGAAGTTCTAATTGGTGAAAAATAACCTCAGCCACAGGGCTGGACATGTCCAGATAGCATCCTGTTAAAGTGAACTCTGTTTCTTGACTGTAATGCATTTGAAGTATTTCCTGTTAATGAGTGAACATAATTTATGCTCTCTAAAAGGCATTTCTTAACTGATACAGGATCTATGAAGATTACATTATTTGAAGCAAATCTTTTCTGGTTTTAACTCATAGGAGAAGTCTGCTCAGAAATTCAAACTGGAACAGCTTGCTAACATTCAGAGAAGGAGAGGTCATTGACCAGAGGAAGAATTCAGAGAAACATCTCCCAAAAGTCAAGCTGACATCTTTTGCTCATCTAGCAAATTATCAGAGTAAGTGCCATCTGTAATCTCAGAATACCTTGGGAAGACTTAAATTCAGAGAAAACAAACAAACAAAAAAAACAAAAACAAAAAACAAAACCCACAGAAAGAGTTTCGGCAGCTGAGAAACTTGTTTTTAACAGTTTAAGAATATTGGAAACAAAAGTTTTTGGGGTAATCAGCATTTCATGCCTCTCCTTAGATATTTCCCAACAACAGTGTCTGAATAGTATTTGAGTAATTGTCATAACATAGTTGTGTGTTCCAGTTTTACTTTTCTAGTCTACAGGCTTTGGGATTGCTATGATGTGTTACAACACACATTAATATGTTAAAAGAAACATGTAATTCAGAAGGACAGACTAAAACCACTTTTTCAGTGTAAACCATTCCTACTGCTATGATGGCAAAAATTGTTGAACACCACAAATGAAGCCATATAAAGACATCTGAATTGCCATTGTTGGATTACATGCATTCTGTACAAACGGCAATTTACCTGCTAGAGAAGGGATGCTGCCCAACAAGGTCTCCATTCTGAAGATGGTAGTCACCGAAGAAATCCGGACTAACTGCTCCATCAGGGACTATCAGGCCATCTATAAAAACAAGAAAGGTCCAGTGACTGTATGAAGCAGCATGACTTCCAGGCAAGTGGGCAACACAACCTGTGCTGGTTTGTCTTAGAAATTCGTTAGCAACTTGCAATATTTCTGGGAGGAATGTCAAGCAACAATAATACTGAAAATCAGCAACTTCAATTACAAAAAAACCTCCAAGTAGCTCAGCATACTGTCCTGAAAAAAACTGTACCTAAGAAACATTCTCTTACTCCTTCTTACTCAGGCCTGTAAAGATTATATCAAGACCCATCTTGTCTGTCCCATCACAAAAGTGAGCAAGGAGAAGTAGTAATGAGAAGGGTCAAACATTAATCTGGACCAGCAGCATGAAAGTAGAAAAGCAGCAAAGGTTTTAATTGCTCAGACTCTACCCTTCACCACTGTGTCTCTTAAAACTGATTAAGAAAAAAACAGGAAAGCAACTTCAAATTTATTTAATCTCCCTTGAATTTTAATGTCTTCTAGCTATTTCCTAGAAGGGTGGTCTTTCCAAATTAAATCCTCTCAACAACTTTACAGATTACAGTTTTATTCTACTTCCTTTATATTCAAACAGTGGCATATGAAGATGCAGACAATTTGTAAAGCCAGTAGTACCCTTAAAGGCTTCACAGTCTCTACTTGCTTTGTAAGGAAAAGAATAAAATCAGGAAGTAACATTTTCCCCTCTGTTACATCAGTGTAAATCCAGAGTGTCTTTGAAGTAAAGTCAGTGAACTGATCCCAGCTGAATGAGAGCCCAGCTCAACTCTTTCCTGTTCTCATTCACAAAACACATTTCTTGTTAATATTAAGGGCACAGTTCTTGCTTGTTAGTCAGTCTTAGGCTCTAATCAGATAAAATGAGCTATTTTATTAAAACAGACCCTACATCAGTTCATCTCCATTACTGTATGGAAATGATCCCAGACTTGTAGTGCAGAAAGCACCCCAAAAAAACAGGATAGAAACAGGTACGTTCAGACTGGTACTTCAATAGTTCAGCAGCGAGAGATTCCTAATGACTAGGAAGTTACAAATGCCATTCCACTTTAAAGAAAGAGATAAGATCCAGGGAGTTACAGGCCACTTAGCTTAACCTCTGTGGTTTCAAAACTACTAAAAGTGCCTGTGCAGGAAGCAGTGGAAAGTTACTTACAGACACAAGGGCTTAGAGATGACGACTCAGGCATTCAAACAAATCTCCCTGTGCTTTATGAATTTACCTGATGTTTTTTGAAGATAATATAGTGACAAATGATAAAAGGAATAGAATTGACACATCTAGATTTCTAACAGACATTTAATGAGGTGCTACAGAGGTTCATTTAGAAGATAATACCTCATGGGAAAGTGACTGAATACAACGCAACAGATTGTAAATGAAAAATGCTAGCCACGATCAGACTACATTTTAGCAGCATAAGATAGCTGTACCTGGCTATATTCTAATTGTATACATATGTATACAGTATGTGAAAGAGTATTACTTGACAAGCAAATAACCTGGCACAGATCAATATTACTGTCTTTCAACATGGTCGGCAAGACACAAGTGCCCTGTGATACCATAAGGATGTAAGGTGACCTAAGAAGAGCAAAGACAGTTGAAATGGCTATTAACACTTGTGCCTATCTCACCAACTATTCTGTATTTTTCACAGAAATGAGGGGGAGCATGAGCACTTTTATACTGACAGTACTTCAGATGAAAACCAATTTAAGAGACTATGTATTTTAAACAGCCAGTTTGGTTAAAACTGTTTTGAAAGCAGAAAGAGTTAAAACTGACATCTATCTTTATATTAATAAAGCAAACACTACATTTTAACTCCGAGGCTAGAGCTACCACTACTTAAAGTGTCTTCAATCAAAAGTGCTAACATTCAAACCATAACACTTGGACTTATGGCTCACATTAATTTATAGGAAAATGAAAGCACATGGATAGCATCAGCTGCATGTAATATGATTATACAGTTAAAAGACATCTGTTGTTATGTACATTTCAAGATAAATTAGGGTTATGTAGTTTCAGAGCAAGAGAGACACCGAGCTCATGAAGGTAACTTCAGAGATTCTACCAAGTTTTTCATGTAGGTTTAAACTACTATGCAAAAGAGATGCTGGCATATCATTACAATAAGGAACTCATCTTGCCATCAGTGAACTGAAGAACTATTATGGCTGAGGGGGGAAAAGAGGGAATTGTAGTGAGCATCAGCCATCAGTGCAGGTTATTTCTAAAATTATCAAATTGAAATACAAGCATTTAATTTCTGACAGCACAAAGATTTGTACTTTTGTTATTTTTTGACTAAGTAATGCTCTGTCCTTCAGAAACCCAAATGCCTACTCCAATTGGTACAATAATCTGTAGCCTTTTCAAAGGAATATTATGTCCCCTCTGGCCATGTCTCAAAAGTATAAATCTAGCAGACTTCAGAAGCACACCATTACTGGCACTTGTCAGAAGGAACCCGAGAAGTGAATCTGTATTTTGAATATCATCACCTACTCTTATATCTTTAAAAACAAAAGCACTTTTCAAACATCTGCAGAACATATCATTGGAAATCTGCCTCTCCTTCCTGGTCAAATATCAATTCCAACACAAAAATCTTTGTTCAAATAACATTGAGCCTGTAACATAAATGATTAAAAGCCAGGAAATTCAGTGTTACTGGTGCCACTCCATCTCTAGCTCACACTATTGGGAAAATAAATAGCTATGAAATAAGCAAAGGTTTATTATTAAGACCAGTAAAGGGGAGACTAAAACAGGCATGCTGGCACATCTTTAACTTAGGAAGCCTAAGACTTGATGTAATAAAAGACACTGGTACTGTACAACACATGGCTCAAACTGCTAAACTTACAGGTCTACTAGACCAAGATAAAGCTACAGAATTCAAAAGGGAAAAAAACATACCACTAAAAAGGCAAGCTGTATGGCTGACATGTAATCAAAAGTAGAAGAGAAAGAATCATTAAGTTCTTATATCCTTTGAGAATAATTTTGGATGTGCTACTTGGAGAACTTGCACAATTATTTTCTCACAGCAACTACAAGTAAAGCTTATGGGGTTTAGTGGTTTTGTTTTTCTTATTACTATTCCTGCAAATTCATCCAGAGTCAGAGAGTTTTGTGACTCATGCTTCATAGCAAAGGACTGGACACTTAAGTGGAAAATAAAAAAAACCCACAGACTCAAACCCAGCAATTAAAAATAACAAAAAAGTAATCCATGCGCACACACAGTCATCCAGGAGTTTGAAAAGGATATAAAACCACAAGTTTGAGAGCATAAACCAACTCCTAGTTATGAGGCGTTATGAAGACATTTATCCAGTGGGAAAATTATTTCATGATTGTCTCCTGCAGAGTTTTTTGACCCTTCTTCTGAAACAGCTGGCCATGTTGGGTTAGAAACATCAGTGTCTTAATCCAGTACGGCAACTTCTATTTTCTTAGGAACTACAAAATCTTTATGGAAAAAGCAGATTCCACTTGAGATCCTCCAGAACTGTGCCACTTTGCACTGCTAATAGGATTAAGCAAAATGACGAGAAATATCTCTTTTCTTTAGAAAAAAAGTATTCAAATAAGAACATGACTCTTCTTAAGAATAATTCTGGGGTTTTTAACCAATTTCTTCAAATTAAAGTAATAAAACTTTTTCATATGAGGAACTAAAAAAAAAAGTATATTACAGAAGAGATTCACACGCTCCCCTAGATATACAACAGCAAAAAACATGCAAATTAGATTAAAAGTCACCGAATGATTGCCTCTAAGGAACCTACACATCTGATATGGCTCAACTGAAGTAATTCATCAAGATCTGCAATAAAAATTCCATTACAGAACACAGAGGAGGCAGAACAAAATTCAGGACCAAATCCCATAGCTGTGAATTTGACATGCATGAGAAAAGGTTTGTGTTTGCGAGGCAAACAAGCTATGGACACAAGGAATTGGCATAAAGAACAAGGCTGAGCCACCTTTACTGAAATCAGTCGTTATGGTCAATTAGCTCCCCGAGACAGGTCTATTCATATTTCTCAAGATCTGTAACACTTCGTAAGATCATGGATATGCAATTCTCAACCCATCACAAACATCCTAGTAAGTCCAAGCCCAAAGCTTGGCTAGCATGCATCGGTGCTGCTCCCAGTGTAACAAAAGGGTAACTGCCCTGCTGCTTTGAGTCAGCAGATTCTCTTTACAGCCCCAGGTCAAACTGCCATTCCAATCCCAGTCCTGAATACTAATATATGCTGCTTTACCTGCATTGTAGTAGAGGTCAGGTCTTTCCAGAATATCCCCTTCATGGATGTAGGGCTCAATACGATCATCGCCATACAGGTACTGCTCACTGTCATCCATCTGCCGACTCTCCACCATCTCCAGCCACTGAGAGTTGTGCCATCGAAATTTCTCACTCTGGATTTTTTTAGCCCATTCCTCATCATATTCCTGTTAAAAATCACCACACAATATTTTAGGATGAGGTATAGACAAAGCTGTGTGGTTTAACAGGAAAGGGCAGTGGAATTTAGCATCAGTGAAAGATGTACGTTTCAGGGCTCAGTGACTTAAATCCTCTGCTCAGTTTGCAGAGTACTTTGAGCAAACAAGGGAATGATTTTGCAAGCACTAGGCATTATTCTGGTTTTGTACATGCAGCAGGAAAATCTTCTCTTCGTGATTTGTAACTTTACACCATCCAGAAAAAAATCTGCTTTGAGCAGGGAAGTTCCATCATCACAGTCTCCTTGTTTGGTTATCAAGAAGAGTCAATTACTGTCAATTTTCACGGGGATTTCAGCAATTAACTACTAACACTGGCCAAATGCCCTATACATCTTCATTAGATGAGCATTCACTAGGACAACCAGTTACTAGGAAATACAATGAAAAAGGTTGTGATGAGACCAATAATTCTGTATTTGTTCCATGAGCTCCAGTAAGACAGGATTTAATTTTCAACTTCTTGTCAAATTTGATAATGGCTTTCCGTGTTTAATATTGAATACCCAGAAAAGTGGTACACAACATTTGTAATAAAGAGGATAGGGGAATCCAAGATACAAAACCAAAATCTGAGAGAAAATTCTCCAGAAAGCTGAGGAAAACAGGATATAGGTTCCAGTCACTATGAAAACAAAAATCTAGGCATGAAATTTCAATCTGGATTACAGCCAGATTGTACTCAAGTGATGCGATATTCAATATAAACGAGTATCTGAAGAAGTGACCTAGCCTATGGTCACTGCAATCAGCCATTTAGAAGGCTCTTCTAAACAGACCAGACCACATAGGCTGTTGATTACTACATAACACAGCCCTGTGGATAATACTCAAGTTTCTCAATATGACCTGAAAGATGGGGCACAGCTGACTATAGAAAACTCATCAACATATGAAACCTGCAGATGTTATCAATTTGGGAAGATTCACAAAGAACACACCATGGTTAAGACTTTTTTAATCAAAGGATTGTGAACAAGAATAACATTCCTAACCAAAGTTTTTCTACTTGTGGAAGAAACATCCTCATGAAACAGGTTCTACTTCACTGTCTTCTAACCTCACTACAAAGGACAGAAAAATTGAAAATCATTTCTTAACTCTCACATTGGTTAACACATGATCTAGACAGACTTTGTCCCTGGAGATCTAGCTGGAGTAGTTTAAGGTTTTTAAAATCTGTTTTACTTAGCCCTGAATGGGATGAAGAGCGTTCACACAATTAGTAACAATGCCTTGGCTGAGGAAGTGGTAATTTCTTAAACTGCCCCAGCTAGACATGCAAAAGTATATCTGTTTATAACCAGATGTCAAAAAATAGCAGTGGAGACAGAGTAAATTGGCTTAGTAGCTCAGGTTAAACTTCTTAAACACCTATAGACTGAAGTTGAGCTTTTAAACTGACTTAATATTCAACCTACCTTGTCTTCACTACTATTAACCCAACACAGGTAACCCACTCTCTACCCTGTGCCTTTTCCACCCTTCTGACTGGTCAATAACACAAAAACCAGCTGGCCCCGTCATTCTGGCAGAGGCTATTCTGACATTGCTAACTAGTACCTAAAGCATCCAAGATTTCATGGGGAATCATGCTGCATTGTGCAACCACAAACCCTTATTCTATGGCAGTGGATTTTTAAACTTTGTTTTATTTGAAGAAATGGCAAGTTTGCTTCTTTTGGCTTAAAGAACAACATAAATTCCCTTTTGATGGGACATCCATGCAAGTACATGCAGATCTGGGGCTCTCATCAGTCTGTGACATTAGTTTCTCCAATTCCACCTCTGTTCAACACTAATTACTAGACCTTTCCAATTCCCCTCTGCATGACCCTGGCACACAGAGGTCCTGTTCAAAACCTGGTCTCCTGTAAAACTTTCATACACAGAGTAGGTATCACTTGTGGGATCTACAGATATTCCCAGAGCTTAGTGACCTCAAGCAAAATTCCAGGTTTCTGTCAGCCATCCAGTAATGCAGCAACCTTAGGAAGGGAGAAAAAAAAACAAACACCCAAGACACCAAAAAATAACAAACACACCCCTATGCCTCATACTGTTTGGAGAAAGAACATCTCATGATATTTCTGCTTCTTGATCTTTTCCCCCACTTCCACTCTTGATTAAAAGAAAGGCTAGAAATAACAGTGCAAAACAAGGGTTTCCCTGAAAAAAAGCAAGCTCGTCACTGAGGTTTATAAAATTACCCATAAAAAAATGAAAGGGCATGACTTTCAGTGATGACATCTGATCTACATTTTGGAAACACCTCCTTTGCTGAATCTGCCAGAGCTAAACTGTGAGTTATCTATTATGTCAGCCTCCAGCAGTTGCGAGTTACTTACAAGCTTTACAGAAACACCTTGTAACTGCCAGAAATCATACTGCAGTCTTAAGAAAACTATTCCCAGAAATCATGATTGCAAAGAAGTGGGGGAAAATAAACAAATTTAACAAACAGCAAATTCAACTAATCTGTAGGAAAGCTGAATCCCTTTTACGTTACCCTGTTTACCTTTAAAAGTTCTCAAAAGCAGAAAGGCCAGCAGCTAAATCACCTAATTCACATTTACCATAAATGCACTTTGAAATCATTTTAACTTTCCCAAAGTTACACTTGCCCCACACTCTGTTCCATTCCACACGACTGTCTGAACATGCTGAATGTCTGTCAAATAGATATGAAGTTCTTATATTCTTAAAAAAAAACCAAACAACAGTTAACATTTCTCAGATCCTAAGTGATTTTTTTCTTTAGACAAGGCCAGAATATTCCTATGTATTTTCCATTCTATATTAAGAAGCTTCAAACTCCCAGGTATTTTACCTTAGTCATTCATCTATATTTTGGAAAACAGGATTAGCAACCTAACAGCAAGTTAGCAACTGTAAGATTGAGCATAGATGCACATTACTTAAAAAAAATCACAAATTATCCATTCAAACAGTTTGGCTACTTTGTTACATTTGTATCTTGCATTTCACTATGAATGAGCAACAATTACAAAGTGACTACACCAGAAACAGATCAATGATCAGTTTTGTCCAGAATTTCATTCTGGCAGCAATCCTAGAAAAGGATGATCTGCAATAATCTAGAACAATTTACATAACCTCAGCACAAAAAAAGGTCTTTTAAGTACTGTTAGATCAGGAATATGTCTGTAGATTTTCCACAGAAATGTGCAGAAACACCACTGGGTAAATGATTAATGGAATAACATCAGAATGGAAGAAAAGCTGTAAATGCAGGACTACAGCCAAAAAGCACAAAGAAATGAAATTAAAGTTTAGAGCAAAACAATTCCCTAAAACACAGCAAGTATTCCAGTAATTATATTTTGAGCTATTAAAAGCCTTCTTTTAATTATTTTATGTGTTTTTTGTGGTTGTGGTTAGGTTTTGTTTCTGGTTTTTAAACACATGAAGCACACCTCCTTTACTAAGGAATTCCCACAAAAATGAAACCAGAAAACTAAACATCATGGAGATACAAACATGGCTTTGTGCCCTCCAATCCTTCTAAATGTTAGGCTACTAGAAAAGCAGCGGGGGGGG